GCAAGACCAGCTCCCGGCTCCCGTTCTTAGCAGGTGACCCCGCCAGGAAGCAGCCACACACAGGAGCAAGCCCGATCGTCTCAGCCAGTGACAAACGTCATGCGGGACACAAACCCGTTGATGTGATACAGAGTGTCCTGGGGTGAGCGTGCAGGCGGCAGGCGTGTCTTCAGACACGAGTGTGCAAAGGCTTCTCTGGGGACGTGAGGTGCAAGGGGCCACCTGCCAGAGGGACCGGAGCGGAGCATGCGGGCAGAGGGGGCAGCCGGGCAGGGGGACCCGCATACTGGGGGGCGGAGAGGAAGGCCAGTGTGGCCAGAGTGGCGCCAGGGCCGCGGTGGGTGGGAGAAAAGGAGGTGCGCACCTGAGGCCCGGGGGTGCACGTTGGGCCGGTGGGTACCTGGGCCGGGCGGGCTCTATTCCAAGGCACGGGGAAGCCTCCAGACGATTCCATCCAGCCGCTGGCCCATCAAGCTTGTACCCCTGCCCCGCGCCGCTGTGCCCCGTGCCCGCCCCAGGCCTCCCAGGCTTGGGCCCCGTCGCCACACCTGGAGATGAAGCGTCCAAGCCCTAAGCCACCTGGTGCCTCCCTCGGAGATGAGCCCGGGGCCTTGCCGACCTCTGCACCCCACAAAGTCTAGCACTGCTGTGCACACGCTCACTCCAGCCGGTGACCCGGGACCCACGCCGTGGCAACCTGGGGCCGTGCTGGGGTCAGGAACCCCTCCGTCGTGGGCCTCCCCGAGCCCGCAGGCGGCCTGAACCCCACGGACTGCAGAGGTACACGCACGACCCCCGTGGTTTTCGGCAGCAACACAGCTCCCCGTCTGTCCAGCACCTGCCCGTCCACCGACTCAGCAGACAGACTCGTGCTGGATACTACGCGGACAGGCCGTGTGCCCGGCGCTAGGACGCCGCATCGAACAGGCCTGCGTGAGTATTGCTGTACACAAACTAGTGCAAACTCAGCAATTAAGGCAGCTGTTTGTTAGCTCGAAGGTTCCCTGGGTCGGGCGTCGGGCACAGCTCAGGGGAGTCTCCTGCTGAGGGTCTCACTTGGGCTGCAATCAAGATGTTGGCCGGGGGGTCTGATCGCCGCTGAGGCCCAGGGGCCCTCTCTGAGCTCCCCGGGTGGAGGCCGAACCCAGTTCCCTGCGGTGGCAGGAAGGAGGCCCCCGGCTCCCAGACCCCCCACAGGTCCCTGTCGCAGCGCAGCAGCTGCTTCTCCAAGACCCACAGGATCTCTGCTGCTTCAAGGCCCCGGCTTCTTCTCTTTTAGAGCGTTTGCCTGATTAGGTGAGGCCCACCCAGGATCGTCGCCCTCTTGATGCACCTCAAAGCCGACTCCCCCAGGACCTCCCTTTGCATCTGCGAAATCCTTTCGCCTTTGCCATGCGCCCCATCAGAGTCGCGCGTCTCCCCTAGGTTCCCGGGTAGGGGTTCCGTGGGGCACCCGCCCCGGGCGGCGGGAATCTCGGGGCCACCTGGCACACCACCCTGACGGAGCTCCGCTCGCAGCCGGGGAGGCCAACCTCAATACTGGCTGCGGGGGTGGCGGCGGCGCCAGGGCCCCGTGGGCCAGCATCTCACTCCATCCCTGGCTGGGTGCCATGCCCACCGCTGCCTGCCACCCCGGGTGCAGCGCTGCCTCCCCTCGCTCACACATGCTCTCACACATTCTGTGACAACTGTCAGTGGCTTATTCATCATCTCAGATTGCAACTTTCTGTTTTCTCAGACACCCACTTTAATACCCTGACATTTCCGTTCAGCCCATAACATTCTGTCAATTGTTTACATCTTCCTCTCACACTGATTGGCTTTCAGTTGCGCTCTTGGTCTTCCCGGTCCTGGTGCGCGATGCTGACGGGGAGGCTCAGAGTCACTCCCTCACCGGCCACGCCGCCGGATCCCCAATGGAGTGCACCCCGTCCCCGAGTCAACCGTCCCCCGAGTCACTCACAGCTTCTGCTCTGGGCTCAGGGTGGAAGCCGCCTGCGAAAGGGGCAGCCCACCCACGCAGAAATTCCTTCGGGGTCCTTCTCCAGTTTATAGCTAAAGGCCCGCTTCCAGAAGCTGCAGGTGGATGGAACTGTCCCCGGGCTCTTCACCTGCCTTTCCATCTGCCCCAGGTCTGGGCCATCAGCAGGACCCGCTACCCATGCCCCGGCCACCGCCCCGCCTTCCCTCCAGTTTGGACCGCCACCACCACCAGCAGCCCTCCCCGACCAGGCAAACGCTTGCCAACTCGTGTTCCGCCTCCCTCCACTTGGCTTCTCCAGGCGTTTCTCCACACCACAACAGGAGACGTCTTCTGAAAACATAACGCCTCCCTGTCCTGCAGACGACCCTGAAGGGGCTTCCCACTGCCTGAAGAACTCATTCCAAATGCCCATCTCTGGTCTACAAGGCCTGGCAAGACCTGTCGCCTCCTTACCTCTTGCCCCTTGCCAAGCCCTCCTGTGTGCTAGGTGCAGGCCACGCAGGCTTTCTCTCAGCTCCTCAGGCTACTTTTCTATGGCAGGGTATGCCTGCATGTGCTATCCTTTTTGCATGGACTATTTCCTCCCACCCACGTGGGAAAATGATGAATTTTAGGATGAATGGTGTTGGGACAAATGGACAAGTGTTTGGAAACAAAAAGCAATGTTTAGCTGCATGGCTGCTGCCTACCTGCAGGCTTTGACTTACCATCAAACAGAACTCTTCCAACCACACCAGCTGACACAGGCTCCCTCTGCTATTCTCCACCTCACCACCTTGATTGTTTGCTTCATAGTCAGGGTTGTCATTTTCAGTGATTTTATTAATTTGTCTGTTTGCTTTTTTCCCTGCCTCCATGCTAGAATGCAGATCCCAGCAAGGTGGAGACCAAGATGGCATGGCTTGCCATCACACCCCCAGCCACTGCATTGCCTGGCCCCTTCTCAGGTGCCTTGTGCAGCACCAGCTCACAAAACATCTGTGGGATGAAAGACTGGATGCAGGAGTGAAGGAATGCATGCTAACTTTGTGGTGTGAAAAAATGCAAATCCACCATGTGATTCGAAATGTAGGAGGCAGGAGGGAGGGTCTCGTCACACTTTATGTTAGACTCTGTTCTAAAGGTATAGTAATTAAAACTGTGGCATTTTCAATGATGAGTAAAAACAGAACAAATGAATTGAATGGAATAAAAAGTCAAGTAAGCAAACATATCACTCAAATACTCAAACAGTTGTTTTTCAGATCAGCAGGAAAAAAAGAGATTATTTTCAAAATGGGATGGGACAGCTAACTAGCTAAGAACAAAAAGAAAAAAATAAGCTAGAGCCCTACCTCTTTACAAAGAAACAAATAAATTTTAAATAACTAAAAATTTGAATGGAAAATTAAGCCATGACATTGTAGAATAAAATTTCTGTTAATTACAATGTAATCTTGGGATAAATAAATCCTAAGTAAGACACTAGGGAAACCACTGAATATTTGACTATGTGAATATGAACAAATCAAACCTAAAAACAAAAATCATGGTAGGGAGACTTCCAGCCATAATGAAGAAAAGAGATCAGCCACCTTTTGTCCCATAAAACAAACATAAAACTGAATCAAGTCATCAAATACAAACATTTAAGGATTCTGGGAAGTGACCAAAGGTAAATGACTAATTGGAAGTGGTTATGCATGAAAAACTGCTAGAAGTTAGAGTCAGTGGGAGTCTGTGGTTTTCTTCCTAGGGCTTCACCTGTCTACTTCCCTACATTGGTTGGCTCCATAATTTTGTCAGGGCAAAGCTAGCTATTAAAAAACATCATCTCGGGGATCCCTGGGTGGCGCAGCGGTTTAGAGCCTGCCTTTGGCCCAGGGCGCGAACCTGGAGACCCAGGATCGAATCCCACGTCAGGCTCCCGGTGCATGGAGCCTGCTTCTCCCTCTGCCTGTGTCTCTGCCTCTCTCTCTCTCTCACTGTGTGCCTATCATAAATAAATAAAAAATTATTAAAAAAAAAAAACATCATCTCTACAGCCAAAGGGGCTTGACCTGTTTGGAGTGGAAGACAATCCTGTACCTGGTGGTACTCTCAATAAAAGTGCAAACTCAGAAGAAAATTAATGAAAGAGATCCCATAGATTTATAAATGTGAGGTTGCAGCCACACTTGATGTAAATGGTGAAACAGCCAGAAATTTAATGGGGAGATATTAGAAGAGCTAAATAAGCTACTCACACATCCATGGCTACCCAGAGAAACTCTGGCAAGTGCAGGTAAGTCTCAAAAGAACCCAGAAGAAATTAAAATAAACCTTAAGGCAAAATTAAAAATTGCCTAAACATAGACTGCACCCCACAAGCTAACTACAAATCAATCAGCAGAATGTGGTTCGTGGAAGAGCCCAAGACATATGTGCACAACATCTTCCCAATCATCATCTCATTACAGATCTATACAGATACAGTGGAAACTCTTAAGAAGCCAAGCTAAAAAAATAAAATAAGAATTTAAAAACTAAGCAAATACTTTTAGCTACACATATATAGAAGACAAATCCTACAGATTAAGCTGAGGAAAAAGACCCTTCAGGAAAAACACCCCAATCCAGAGTTGCTACAATATATTTTTACACGTCCAGTTTTCAATTTAAAAAAAGAAATTGCAACACACAGAGAAATAGGAAAGTATGAACTATACTCAGGGGGGAAAAAAGGAATCATTATAAACTAATGCTGACTTGGCCCAGATGTTGGATTTGGAATTAGCAGACAGAGACTTCACAGCAGCTATTATAATAAACATGTTCAAAGAATTAAAGAACACTATGTTTAAAGAATTAAAGAAAAACTGCTGTTTCACACCATTTGCAAATATTAACTCAAAATGAACCAGGAAACTAAATAAGAGCAAAACCATAAAAACCTTAGAAGAAAACATAAGGGCAAGTCTTCATGATCTTGGACCTGGCAATGAATTCTTAGATAGGACACCAAAAGTGTGAACAACAACAACAACAAATTAGAGAGACACTTACCTGGCAGTGGAGATACCATGATCAGGAGGGTGGGTTTCCTGGGGCAAACTTACCCATTGCACTCCTCATGCTGACCTCTATGATTTTCCCAAATGTGTGAAATGTGACTGCATAATTTAGGGTAGTGGGGAACTGTATTTGTAAAGTAGTATGGTATAGCCACTGTGGAAAATAGGTTGGTGATTCCCAAAAAACTATACATAGGGCAGCCTGGGTGGCTCAGTGGTTTAGCACTGCCTTCAGCTTAGGGCATGATCCTGGAGACCGAGGATCGAGTCCCACATGGGGCTCCCTGCATGGAGCCTGCTTCTCCCTCTGCCTGTGTCTCTGCCTCTCTCTCTCTGTGTCTCATGAATAAATAAATAAAATCTTTAAAAAATAAAGCTACACATAGAATTGCCATATGGCCCAGCATTTTCCACTGTTAGGAATATACCCCAAAGAGTTGAAAACACGTACACAAACAAAAACACACACATGCATGGTCATAGTAATAATACTCATGATAAGAAAAAGATGGAAACAACCCAAATGTCCACCAATGAATGAATGGCTAAATAAGTCGTGATATATACACACAATGAAATATCACTCAGCCATAAAGAGAAATGAAATATAATGTAGATGAGCCTCAAAAACATGATCAGCAAAAGAAACCAGACACAAAATATTGCATAATTTTGCATTTATATGAAATTCCAAGAATAGGTAAATTAATAGAAACATAATACAGATTGATAGTTTCCAGGGACTAGAGGAAGGGGAATTGGAAGCATCTGTTTAATGGGTACAAAATTTCTTTTTGGAGTGATGAAATATTTTAGAACCATATTGTGAGTGCACCAAATGCCACCGAATTATATACTTTAAAATATTAATTTTATGTATGTGAATATCACCTCAATAAAAAAAATTGATGAATTAAAGGAAAATACAATGACAGTGACTCCAAAGAGGAAAGAACATAGAGTATAAAATTTAAAAATAACAGAATAAAAATGTCCTGTCTCCCTTTCTGATATTTTCCAAGTGGGAAATAATTAGGGTAGTGGGGGACTGTATTTCCCAAGTGGGAAATATCAGAAAGGGAGACAGAACGAGAGACTCCTAACTCTGGGAAACGAACAAGGGGTGGTGGAAAGGGAGGTGGGCAGGTGGTGGGGGTGACTGGGTGATGGGCACTGAGGGTGGCACTTGATGGGATGAGCACTGGGTGTTATGCTATATGTTGGCAAATTGAACTCCAATAAAAAAAATTTTAATAAAAAAAGAATAAAAATGAAAATTCTAGAGGGAAAAATATAATAATCAAAATGAATATTCACTAAATGGCCTCAATATCATATCTGAGATGTCAGAATAAAAACTCAGTAAACTCAAAAATAGCAAAATAGAACTCAGCCAACATGAAGAACAGAGAAAGATTTTTTTTAATAAATAGAGATGTAAAGATTTGTAGGATAACATCAAGCATATCAACACATATATAATGGGAATCCCAAATTTGAGAAGAGAGAGATACAGAAAAAAAAGAATACTCAAAGAAATAAATTCCAAAAAGTTCCAAAAAAGCCACAGAATTCCAAAATTTGGTGAAAAACATCAGTCTACAGGTGCAAGAAGCTTATGCCAAATATAAGATAAATATATTGTATTAAGCCAGTTGAAAGACAAACAAAAAGTCTTGAAAGCATCAAGAGCGGAATGTCTCAGTATGTACAGAGGAATAATATGATTAACAGTGGACTTCGCACCCAAAACAATGAAAGACAGAAGGCAGTGGAATGATATATTTAAAGTGTTAAGGGGAAAATTAAAGTTGTTAATCAATAATTCTATATCCAGCAAAATAATTCTTCAAAAGTAAAAGCAAACTAAGTATATTCCTAGATAAGTACTAAGAAAGTTTGTTATAGCCAACCTGCCATACTAGAAATGCTAAAAGAATTTCTTCAACATGAAAGGAAATGACACCAGATAGGAACTCAAATCCACAGGAAGAAATGCAGAGTCCAAAAGTACTAAATATGTGGATAAACATAAAGGACTGCTTAAATATACATTTTTTTAATTTTCTCTTCTCTTTGTTTCTTCCAATAATATAAGATTGCAAGGGTAATTATAAAATCATCTCATTGGGCTTATAACACATATAGACATATATGACAATAATGCTAGAAAGGAGGGGGAAAGAAAAGAGCAATATTGAAGCAAAGTGGCTGTATTTTACTTCAATAAGGTCGATATTAGCCTAAAATAAACTGTGGTACCTCATTATGTGTATTTTAAATCCATAGAGAAGTCACTATGAAAAAAAATCATGTTTAAAAAATAGAAGAATAAAAATGATACACTAAAATGCTAATTGAACACAAAATAATGCAATAAAGGAGGGACAAAAATATAAATAAGACATATTGAAAACTAACAGCAAAATGGCAGATGTAAATCCAGCTACATCAATAATCATATTAATATGAAAGGACCAAATTCTAGAAAAAAGGCAGAGATTATCTCATTAGATTTTTTTAAAGCAAGATTCCAGTATATTCTATCTATGAGAGACCTACTTTAGACTCAAAACTACAAACATATCAAAGTAAAAGGATAATGAAAGGTATAACATGTAAAGATTAATATAGTTAAGATGGCTATGTTAATTCAGACAAAATCACTTTTAAGAAATTTTTCTAGAGAAAAAGAGATATTTCAAAATGGTGTAACACATCAGAAAAGTATAAAAGTTGTAAATGTGTATAAATCTAATAATGGAACCCCAGAACCAAGAAGAAAAACCTGACAGGACTGAAAGAAGAAACAGAATTCAATAATAATAGTTGGAGATTTTGATAATTCACTCTAAATAATAGAATAACTAGACAGAAAAATCAATAAAGATAATAAACCATTTGAGCAATCTATCAGCTATATTGATCTGACATGGATAGAACACTCCTACAACAGAAGGATACATTCTTTTGGAGTACATGCAGAACATTCTCCAGGTTTAATGATATCTGGCCATAATAATATGGCCTTAGTGATTTAAAGTGACCTGAATCATTTGAAGGATATTCTCTGACCACAGTGGAATTAAATTTGAAATTAAAAGCAGAAAGAAATCTTGAAAATTTAGAAATTTAACAACACACTACTAAGTAACCGATGGCTCAAAGAAGAAACCAGAAGGGTAATCAGAATATATTCTGAATGAGAATGATAACAAAACATATTTAAAAATTGGAAGCAACAAGGAAGAATGAATGGATGGATTAAAAGGACCACTAAATTTTTGAAGGTGATAGAAATGTTTATTATTTTGAGTGCAATCCTTGGATATTTTTACAAATGTCAAAATTTGTAAAAAAAAATTGTGTTTTAAATATGTGCAGTTTTTTACATGTCATTTATTTTTCAATAATGCTATGAAAATGTGTGGGATGCAAGAAGTTAAGCACTTAGTGTAAATTTTCCAGCATTAAAAGTTCATATTAAAGAGAAGAAAGAAGGGCATCTTGGTGGCTCAGTTGGTTTAGCATCTGCCTTCTACTCAGGTCATGATCCCAGGGTCCTGGGATCGAGCCCCACTTTAGGTTCCCTGCTTGGTGGAGAGTCTGCTTCTCCCTCTGCCCCTCCCCCCTTCTCATTCTCATTCTCTCTCTCTCTCTCTCTCTCATTCTCTCTCTTTCAAATAAATAAAACCTTTTAAAAAATAAAAAATAAAGAGAAGAAAGACCTCAAATAAATACTCAAAGTTTCTACCTTAAGAAACTAGAAAGAAGGGCAAATTAACCCAAAGCAAGAAAAATAAAGAAAATAATAAATGTCAGAACAGAAATGAATGAAAAGGGAAACAGAAAAACAATATAGAAGAATCAATGAAACAAAAAGCTGATTCTTTGAAAAGATTAACAAAATTGATAAACCTTTATCAAGACGGGGCAATCAAAAAAGAGATAATACACACACTACCAAACAAAAGTGAAAGAGGCTTCATAACTACCAAACCTACAAATATTAAAAGGATTAGAGACTATCAACAACTTTATGCCAACAAAGTTAAACAACTTAGAAAAAAATGAACAAATTTTTAAGACAGACACAAATTACCAAAATTAAAGAAGAAATAGAAAATCTAAATAGAACTGTCACAAGTATATACATTGAATTAATAATTTAAATATCTCACAAAGATTAGACCCAGATGGCTGCATTAATAAATTATATCAATATTGAAGAAACAATATCAACTTACACAAACTCTTGCAAAAATTAGAGGAAAGGGAAACATTTCCAACTCATTCTTTGAGGCTAGTATTACCTTGATATCAAAGTCAGGGGAAAAAAAAATCACAAGGAAAAAAACCTAAAGATCAATAAAAAATTATTGGTGAAAGTTAATTAATATTAATTAAACTTTATTTAACCCAGCTATATTTTTGAAGGATTATTATACAAAATTTTAAATGGCATTTATCCTAGGAACACAAGACTGGCTTAATATCTGAAAATCAATTAACATAATACACAATACTAATAGAATCAAGGACCATTAACCCACACAATTTCCTCAATTTGGCAAAATCCACATCCATTTATGATAATAACTGTCAACAAATCAGGAATAGAAGGAAACTTCCTCAACCTGATAAAGAACTATAGGTTTTTCATAGATGCTCATGATTTCTCCCAAGAACTGGAATAAGGCAAAGATGTCTGCTGTTACTTCTACTCACCATTGCAGCAGACTAGCCAATGCAATAAAGCAAGAACAGAAAATGAAATGCATATGGATTGGAAAGAAAGAAGTAAATCTCTTTCTAGGAAACATTAGAAGCAACTAGAACTAAACAAATAGTTCCCCAAAGTCACAAGATACAAGATCAATATACAAAATCAATTGTATTTCTATTTGCCAGCAATAAATAACCCAAAAATAAAATAAGAAACACTTTCATTCATAATAGTATCAGCACAAATACTCAGGAATAAACAAAGAAGTGAAAGATCTGTGTATAAGAACTATATTACTACCAAACCTGTGCACTGAAAACTACAAATCATTACATAGAACAACACCAATGAACCTCAACATCATTATGATGAGATGAAAAACACCAAATGCAAAAGACTACAAGTGGTACAATTCCATT